TTTAAAAGAGTTACCCTGAAAAAATCTTACTCCAGTTTTCTTTTATCTATCAGATTGATAAAATACAAAAGTTTTGGTTAGCTATACTTACTGTTTGTTGCGTTTATTGACTATGTTTTCTTTGTTGACAGAATATGTAAGGTTGTAGGTCTTAGTTTTTTGCTTGCCAAGTTTCATAAAATATCAATCTAACTACAGCGCTGATTTAAACTATCCGGACAAAACGAACAAATTTTTCAAACACGTTTTTCTCAAATTGGTTTAAGATTAGACAAAAAGTGAAGTGAACAAAAGTTAATTAGAATTTCATCAGGATTAATATGGTGCAATTTTTTCTCCGAAATTCTCAAGCAAAATTTTACCCCAAAAATGAGTAATTTTGCCTTTTTCAATTAATCAAGATTTACACTGGAACTATTTGTTACTTGATAAAGAAAAATACATCTTACAAAGCCTCTTACACAGCCCAACAAAGTTTAAGTAAAGTTAAATCTTCAAAATTTTGCGCAAATTGTTTAAAACTTGTTTCTAAGCAAAAATTCTGTGTTTTGTATAGTAAAAATCACATTTATTGACTATCAAGTAATTTTTTTCTCTTATACAGGTTTTTGAAGATTTAACCCATCTTAAACTTTGTTGGGCTGTGTAAGAAGTTTTTTTGGTATTGGTAAATCCTCCTTTACAGCACAAATTGATTGTCTGGGCAGAAAAAATCTTTGTAGTATCAAACAGTAATTTTAAATGAGAAACCAAAAACTTGCTCATAACTTTAGAGTATTTCCGCAAAATAGAAAAGATCTTAAACGCTAGAAAACTAATTGAGCAGCCAAGTAGCCCAAATCAGTTCATTATTCTTTCGATCCAGTTAAATCATTTTATATACTCTCATTCATTATTTGCCAAATGTTCACCCTTGTATCTTTATTACTAACAGAGAAAAGAAAGGGAACGTGATGAGTCTTTTCATTCATTTCCTTACGAAATCTGAGATGAACATACATAGATGGTTTTCGCTCATTTGTTGAAAACCTAACTTTATATTTTTTGTCATTGATGAATCAGGGTTGTTTTCTCGACTTTCGAAGAAAACGAAGAATATTCATTTTTTGGGCGGCTTTTATTGAGACGATTTGTAGCTCACTTGGAGGAATGATCCCTGGGCTTACTTGCGTCCTGCCGTGCTCGCACACCACTATGTTAACGCGGAGACTATTCTCACGGGCGAAGGACCGAATGGGCGAAGGACCTAATGGGCGATAAACTCATGGGCGAAGGACCGAATGGGCGAAAAACTCATTGGCGAAGGACCGAAAACAAAAATAACCAAAAGTTAATTATTGAATTGAATCAATTGTTTTTCAACTAAAAGGAATTAAATGAAGTTTTTTTATCACAAAACCATTGAAATATACAGTTGTTCCTATTCGCCGAAAGTCAGTGACAATTTGAATGTTTTGCATATTTCTGCCATTTTTGTATTTGACCAATAATAATATTAAGTCCCTAGAAACTGTTACTTTTTTTGAAATTTTCTCGGTTTTTTTTTTTAATTTTGGAATAGTGAAAACTGATTGGCTGATTTTTATTTTCACCCATTCGATTTTTCTTCTATGAGGATTTCCACCTGTTAACGCGACTGTCTGTACAAGCTAAGACAAAAATTGATCTAAACTGCTCATTGTTCAGACTTTCGATACGAAAGTAACGGAATATTTGTGCTCGGGGTGGGTTTTTTTTCTTCAGACAAAATTCGACTTTTGAACTAGCAATTTTTGACGAATATTTTTTACATCATTCGAAAGCTATTGTTGTCCTGAGCTTAAATTTGAAAAGATATTTCACCTGTGATCATTTTTCGTAAAGTTATGAGGGTTCAAAGATTGCCATTTTGGCCATTTTGACCAATTTGGGACAATTAACGCGCGATATAATTCGAGATATTAACGCGTAAGCGGAGATTTAATCCGTCTCAGAAATTGTTCCAAATTGGTTGAAAGAAGCTTATTTGCCATAATTGATTTGTTACAAGGAGCGAAATTTTTTGTTTTGTACTTTATAAGGCGTGTTGGGGGATGATTTTCAGAGAAAAATTTTCAAATTTTAGAGAAAAAATTTTTCATTTTATTTTATTTCTTTTAATTTTTTTGTTGTTTATGTTATTACTGCTCCATAAACATGAAAAGGCAGTCGGAACTTTCAGGGCTTCGCCCTGATACGAGCAGTCTTGTTTGATATTTTGGTACTGAAAGTGTAACGCCTTTTATTTACGCGTGGCGAATTATCCCACACTGCAATATCGTTCAAATTGAATTGAGGCAAGCTATTTGGTCTCATAATTGCATATACAATCAATTTTTAAAAGTTGAAGTTTGATATTACCATTCTAAAAGCAATTAAAGGGCGGCGAAACCTTAAGGGCTTTATCTTGATAAGAACAATCTTGTTTTACAAAAATTAGTGCTGATTTATAACTATCAATCAATCACTAGGAAAACATTTTATTATGCAACGAATTAGCTATGTTCAAACAAGAAAAAGCGCTGGGATGAAAATGCAATTCATTCCCATACTACCATCCAAAAAACGCACCAAAAGGTGATTTAACCTTTTCACTTGATATATGGGGATGTTTTTGACCAGAGCTGAGGTTATCATAAAGCCAGAAGTAACGCCAAACTTTTTCGTTTTCTAGTTCTTACGAGTAAAAAATGTTTTTTTTTTAGAAATTATTATATATTTTCATGGTATTTTCGACCTTCAATTTTTGAATGCGCTTGGATGCTCTGCCAAAAAAAAACTAAAAGAGCCAAAAAAGCTCATGTAGCACTGAAAATTAAGAAGAAAAATTTTTTTTTTCGAGAATACCAGATTTCTTTCCTGCAACATCTACTTAACACGGGAGAACAAACATCGTAGTGTTGCATGTATTTTAAAACGCCGTCCAAGCTTCAGAGAATACGACGCGTCTCAAATATCAAAGAAACGAGGACCTGCGAAGAGAAAAACAAGAGTAAATTACAACAAAGATCTGTTTTAAAGTATTTGAACATTTTTTACGACACTGAAATTACTGTTATTTGAAAAAATTAAAATTCGAAAACTAGTTCTCCTGGTTCTAAAGAAAGTTCACTTTGAAGCATTTAAAACTTAGTTTTCTAATTTTGCTGACAATTAGTTCTTTCTTTGCTTTTAAAGTGCAGTTTTTCTCCTTCATAAATTTTTCTTGCAGCTGACTGTAATCAACTATTCCTGAAAACCTCTTCTGCTTTGACTTAATTGTTCCGACTTTCGATACGAAAGTAACGGAATATTTGTGCTCGGGATGAGTTTCTTCAGACAAATTTCGACTTTTTAACTAGCCATTTTTGACGGAATTTTTTAATATCATTCAAAAGGTATTGTTGTCCTGAGCTCAAATTTGAAAATATATTTTACCTGTGATCATTTTTCGTAAAGTTCTGGGGGTTTAAAGATTGCCATTTTGGCCAATTTGGGACAATTAACGCGCGATATATTTCGCGCTATCAACGCGTAAGCGGAGAGCTAATCCGTCTTAAAATCGTTCCAAAAAGGATGAAAGAAGCTATTTGCCATAATTGATTTGTTACAAGAGGCTAAATCTATCTTTTTGTACTTTAAATGGCGTGTGGGGGGATGATTTTCATAAAAATTTTCAAATTTTAGAAAAAAGAATTCATTTTGTTTTATGACGTTTAATTTTTTAATGTTATTACTGCTCGATAAAACCTTAAAAGGCAGTCGGAACATTCAGGACTTAGCCCTGATACGAGCAGTCTTGTTTATATTTTTGCCTGAAAGAATATGTTTGTGTTTTAGCCTCTGTGGATTGGTTACTGAATCTTACAGTTCGTTCTCTGGTTTTTTTTTCACTCTACGAGTATTTAAAACAAAAAAATTGGAAAACATATTTATCAATTCATCATTTTTTAAATTTGATGCTAAATTTTAAGCAGAATCTTAAGCACTTCTTCTTTTTTGCATTCTTTTCGCTCGAGTAATTGATTCAAGCCTCAGTTTATTGAATTGTTACAAAAAAACTTTTAGTTTGAGGTTACAAAAATCATTCCAGTTGTCATGCTTATTTAAAAAAATCGAACAAAGATGAAGATTTTGGTAAAAACATCCAAATATTTGAACAATTAGTCATGTTTTTTGATGATCTAACCAATACTGATTTAGAATTTTTTATCCCGCACGAGCCATTTGAGTCGCAGATTCAAACTGATTGTTATGAAGATAAAAGTTAGTGTTTGTGTAAAGTGTATGATGCACAAATTGTTACAAACTTAAGGCTTAATAATTGCAAATGCTGATTCATTCTGTCGAGTTTGTTTTCCAGAAACATAAATTTAGCCGAATATTTGGACAAACAAAAATTTCTGTAGTAAACTTAATTGCATTATTGCTCAAGTTCAAAAGGTGTTATAGAATACTAAAATCCAGCAGTTACCGAGAAAAAGTAATATCATTGCAACCTGCAAGCAATCAATGTATATTTAAACAACTTTCTTTTTGCTTTCTCTCTCTATCATTAACAGAGGTTCCTGAATCGGCAGAAAAGAGTGAACAAACCGTTCGCCCCATCATCAACCGTTTATGGCCGTTATGAAACGCCTTTGCGGTTTTTAAGTTTCTGTCTTTTTGACAGTTGAAACAAAGCTAAAAAAAAAGAGCAATCTTTTTAATGGACGGCAGCAATTTAAATACTTTTGATGCAAAAACAACTATGGATATACGATGGCGCTTTGATAATGTTTTTTGCTTTTGAACCATAGAAAGCATCTATGGAGGTTATTAGATTTTTGTTTCATAATTTAACGAGAAAAAATTATCAAGATCGACAACGGTCCATGTAAGATTAAATGGCGTCCACATTTTTCTCAAAAGAAAACAGTATCACAACTTTCGAAACAAAGAACAAAAAATGCTGCAGCGACATTTTTTGCAGTCAAATGATCTTTTAGTAAACAAGTAAATTAGTTATTTTTAAAACAAGTCCTAATACAGATTTTAAATCAGGGTAGTTTTTTTTTCGGTTATCTAGTTTAGACAAATTTGGCAACTTTAGGAAATACACGTCGTTTTGTAATTGTACAAATAGCTATCAAATTGACTCAGGCCATTATTTACCGCAGTTTTCAATTAATGTTATTCAAAACCATCTTCTAAATTTGGCGTGGGCACTCCATTGAAACAACTCTTTTGAGTCAGTGATTTTAAGAACCAGAAAGTTTGGCTGCTAAAAAGTTTAAGAATAACTACAACCACATTCTCTTATTTTTAAAATCACCGAGTCATGTTTCGATTCATGGACAAATATGGCCTCTATGGCCTTTTCAGAAGTCTATGGCTTCTGTGTGCTGGTGGTGTTCAGAGTGCTGTTCATACATGTCTTCTGAGTTCAGCACTGACCCCCTCACTAACTTCAAAAGAGTCAGACACACTCGCAAGTTCTCTTCCAGTTCCTTGTTCATCTTCTGCAGCATCTCTGTTTGGTATCTTAAAAGAACAACAAGATTTTTTAATTATTATTAATCTGTTGGCAAAGATATCAACAAGGGTAGCCGGTTGCTGTGCAAGTAGCACAGAATTATCCGATCATAGTCTTTAAAAAACTACAAAAAAAGAGTTTTTTTTCAGATTCGTGTTTTTTTTCTGGGTAGTGTGATGAAAGTATCTGGCGTAACACTAATATTTAGGCATATTCGACAGTCATATAAATATAGGCAAAATGGAAAAAAATTTTGTAGAAAAATGACTAAGAGACAAAAAAAACTACAACACACCCGAATACAAAGTTCTTCCACATTGTTCAAATGGTCGGAAAAATGATCACATTTGAGTGTGAACTGTAGTACGCTACGACTATCAAAAAATGCAAAAGGACTTACGCATCAAACATTCTGTTCGAATTTCGTACACAAAAAAAATTAATTACATATACAATTTGAGTTGAAGCTTTTCGTACAATTTAAAATACAACAAGCATAGCTGGTTACTGCACCAGTTGCACAGAAAGTTCCAACTAAATTAATAAGGAAATTGAAATTTTTGCAGGGCTTTTTTGATACATGGATGCTGTTCATGCATGTCGGAACATGTATGAACAGTGGTCGGAACAAAAATACAGCGGTCGGAACAAAACTGTTACCGTTTTGGACAAACGCGGATCTAGTGTTTTCGCGGGGGGTAGGGGGGGGGGGCATAGAGATAGATATATGAAATGAGTAATGAGTAGAGATATTAATTTCTCATTTCTACCCACTGAAAAAATGTTTAGTAATTAAACAATTAAATGCCGATACTTCAAACTTTTATTAGTGAATGAATTTTGGTTTGAACATTTTTGATCATTTTTTCAAGGTAAATAGTTCGGAAACTGAAACCTGAAGTATTCCAAATCCCCACTCAATGCTTTGTTATTCTCCTCCAAACCCCACTTATGCTGCTGAAGATCTCCCATTTTGTTCAGCTGTTTGTCCAGTTCCGACTTGAAATCATTAATTTGATCAGCATTCACTTTTGAATCTCGGTCGCTTTGACTCCTGGCTATCTGTGCGTCTCTAAGTGCGTTTTTCACGTTATCAATCTCGTCTTCAAGGTCGTTGAGTTTATCGTTCAACATTTTATTTTTCTCAACCAAATCTTCGTTTTGAGACAGCAATCTATCCTGGCTTTTTTCGGTTTCTTTTTCTTGGTGTAGCAATGACTTTTTCAAGTCCAAAACATCGCGATCACGCTCAAATTTCACTTTCTCGATTTCCTCGCGAAGTTTATCGACTAACTCGTCGCGCTCGGCTTTCGTGTTTCGGATCTCGTCTCTTGCCGAGTTCAAGTCGTCTCGGATTTTACTCAGGAGTTCGTCGCCGTCGGATTTCGTTCGTTCAATGTCACCGCGAAGTCGTTCGGTTTCCATCTCTCGCTCCTTCTTTATCAACCTGTTATCTTCTTTTTGTTGTTCCAAATCGTGTGAAATACTTTCCAGTTTCATAGAATTTTCCGCTTTAATTGCGTCCATTTCCGATAGTAACTTTTCTCGTTCGGTTTCAAGCCGGTCGTGTAAATCAACTCTGTCGGCCCGAAGTTTATCCAGCTCAATTCTTTGCTCGTCAATTTCATGTCGGTTACTTTGAACTTCGTTCGACAACATTTCAACCTCTTTCGCTCGGTCGTCTAACTGTCGTTTCGCTTCGGCTTTCAACTCTTCCAATTCGTTTTTCAGTCGATCTTTCTCGTCTTTGAGCTCATTTTTTGTCATTTCAAGCTCGGCCTTGCGGATTTTTATTTCTTCGTTCGCTTCGGTTAAACTTTTCTCGTTTCGGTCGCGTTCGGAGCTCATTTCGTTTTTCAATACGCCGAGCTCGTCTCGCATTTCTGCGATGATTCGAGATTTTTCATCGGAAAGTTCCGAGAACGATTTTCTTTCTCCATTTATTTCTTCTGTAAGTTCTTTAATCATAGCGCTGTGATCTTTTTGAAGTGCGCTAATTTGATCCTTCAACATAAAATTTCCTTTTTCGAGATTATTGATTCTGGATTTCGCCAAAGCTCTTTCTGTTTCCAGCTCGTTATGAAGATTATTGATTTGTTTATTCTTATTTTCTCCGTCTTGTAGCGCGTTTTCTCGGTTATTTTCCAGTTCGGTTTGCAAAGCATCAACTTGATTTTGCAACGAGTCTCGTTGCGAGTCGTAAGTTTTCAGCAAGTTGTCGCGCTCTTCTTGGTTCGCCTTTTTCAACTCAGAAATTTCCTTTCGCGAAGTTTCTTCCGATCTTTCTAAAGTGTTTCTCAAATTTTTAGCTTCTTGTTTTGTGTTTAATAGTTCGCTATGCATTGCTTTCGCTTTTGTGTCCGCTTCTTGTTTTGATGATTTCAGTTCATCTTTGAGCCTTTGTTGGTCTTGAATCCGAGAATCTTCAATTCTATGACATTCGTCTCTGAGTTTCGAAATTTCGTCATTCAAATTAGTTTTCACAATTTCGTTTTCTTCTTTTGCGTTTCGAATTTCATTATGAGCGTCTTTCAGTCGATTTGTCAAAATTTCAGCATTTTTTCGATCTTCTTCTTTAGCATGGCGAATTTCTTCTAAAAACTGACGCCTCTCATCGATAAGTTGATTTTTAGCTTTTTCAATATCGCCTCTCAATTTCGAAGTTTCAGTATCGTAGCTTTTGCGTACATCTTTGTTTTCAGTTCTAAGCGACTCCAAATTCGAAGCTAGAGAGTCGTTTTCTTTTTGAAGCCGATTGATGACTTCTCGGCTTTCGTTGATGTTATCTTCACATTGTTTTTGGAGGAGTTCGATCGATTTGGCTTTCTCGTTTCGTGTGTTTTCCAGTTCCTGGTAGAGATCTTCTAGTTCGTTTTGTTTCTGTTCCAGGTCATTTTCTTTTTCAGTTCGCAGTTGTCGCAAGTCTTCTTTCAAACGAGACCTCTCGTCCTGAAAATATAAAAAATATTATAAAAAATATAAAAAACAGTTTTTTGAGGGTGAACAGAACTCTTCGTAAATGGAAAATGATTAAAATTGTAAATAAATTTTGCTAGATTCAAAAAAGGTTATTTCAAAAACCGAAGATCATAATTAACAGTGAAAAAATTAAGAATGTGAAAAAGCTCACCTCATTGTCGTGTTGCATCTGTTCATGTTTTCGATTCAAGTCGTTCAAATCGGCGAGAGCCGACTTCAATTCCGACTGCAAGTCGCCTTTCGCATCTTCCAGTTTTCTCGTGTCCCGCACTAGCTCTTCGTTCTCGATTTTCAACTCTTTTTCTCGTTCGTTGGCTTCCTGTCGGAACTTATCCGACTCAAATTTGTGATTCTTAAGTTCTTCATTCAAGTCGTTCTGCATTCGTTCGTGAAACTCTTTCAAGTTCAAGATTTCGTCTTTGAGCTCTTTTATTTCTTCATTTTTGACATCTTCGATCATTTTTGACCTTTCTTGGCTCTCTTTCAGATCAGTTTTCAAATCTCGAACTTCTTTTTCATAATCGGTTTTTTGATTTTTTAGTGAGTCTTGAAGCAATTTAATATCTTTATCTGCTTCTTTTTTCAGCTCTCGAAAAGCCGAGTCTTTTTCTTTAACATCTTCCAAAGCGGCTTGTAATTGTCTTTCGTAAGTATCGCTCAAGCTTTCCAGTTCTTTCAAGTGAAGTTCATTTGAACTCAGCATATCGTCACTATTTTGCTTCAGAAGTGAGTCTTTGTAGGCCATTTGGTCATGGAAATCGGCTTTCAATTTACCCATATCCTGGTTTTGTGTTTTCTTCAAGTTTTCAACCTCTTTTTGATGTTTCGTTTTCGAGGTATCAATTTCGTGTTTGAGACCTGAAATCTCATGTTGAAGTTGATCTTTTTCATTTTGAGACGCTTTTTTGAGCTTATCAAAGTCTTCGGACATTTTAGCAAATTGATTGTCCCGTTCTTCTTTCAACCTTTGGATTTCGTCACTCAAGCCTGATTTTTGCTCGTCTCTTTCCAATTTTAGAGCTCTGACTTCATCTTGAAGCGCCAATTTTTCCTTTTTATTTTCTGCAGTTTCCTTTTGCAGCAACTTTTTCAACTTTTCAATTTCTGCTTTCAGACTTTCGATTTCTTTTAAGAGTTCTGAAATGAAATCTTGCTTTTGTCCAATTTCTGCGATCAAATTTTTCTTGATTTTATCGACTTCGCTTTCGTGTTTATCCATCAAATCTTGGATTTCATGGTTTTTCTTGTTTTCTAGATTTATCAAATCTTTTCGAAGTTGTTCGATGGTTTTATCACGTGCCTCTTTTGCCAAAACTGCTTCGTCCATCATTCTTTCCAAGTTTTCACGCAGTTGTTTTAATTCTTCGTCTTTGGCCATAAACTGTTTTTTCAACTCTTCATTCAGTCTTTCAACCTCCCGCCTTTTTTCAGCCTCGACCTTTTCAAGTTTTTGCTTGTGATCTTCAGTCACTTTTTGAAGTTTTTCACGAAGTTGTGAAATCTCTTCGTTGAGTTCGTTTTCACATTTCGCTTTATCGGCTTTGAGTTTTCCAAACGTGATCTCCGAATCAGTTTGCTGCTGCTCGAGTTTTGATTGGGCATCTTTAATCTCTGCGTTCTTATTGGTCGTTATTCGGTAAATCTCATTGGTCAATCTTTCCGTATTAGCTGAAGAATCATTTCTTAGCTCGCTATTTTCTTCCTTCAAACTAGCGATTTCATTTTTCAAATTTTCGATATCGGTGTCCGATCTAGTTTTCAGTTTTTCCATTGCTCTATTTTGATCGTCAATTGTTTTTTGAAGTCCGTTTTTGACACTTTGCAGCTCTTGTTGATGATTTTTGGCTATCTGTTTATTTTCGTTAGTCAACACTCGAATTTCAGAATTTGCCTCTTCTAACTTTGCCTTCAAATCTTTTTGAAGATTTGAAACTTCAGATGCGTGTTCAACTTTCATTTTCTTAATTTCGTCTTTCAAAGATTGGATTTCTTTAATCAGATTACCTTTTTCATTGTTTGTCATTCTTTTCATCTCATCGAGTTTTTCTTTATTCGAATTTTCCGCTTCGTGAAGTTTTTCCTGCAACTCTTTCATTTCGTTCTGTCGAGCAGTTTCAGAACTTTCTAGTTTTTTGGTCAGATCAGCTATACTTTGATGTTTTTCATTCAAACATTGGTCATATTCAGCGTTGATTTTGTCACACGCTGATTTAAGAGAAGCTATTTCGTAGTCTTTTGTTTTTTTCAACCTTTCGAGCTGAGCGTCAAAGTCTTCGTGAAGTTTTTCTTTCTCAAGCTTCAGTTTTGTAGTTTCAGCAGCGCGCTGATCTTTCGAAGTTTTAAGCTCTGCTTTCAACCGATCTAAATCTTCGTTGTAGTTATTTTTGTTTGTTTCGTGGTCGAGTCTCAATTTTTCGAGATAAGCTTCGTTTTTCCTTTCGGAATCTATCATCTCACTTTTAACTCGCGCGTAATCCTCTTTCCAGTTTTTAATTTTAATTTCGTAATCCGAAACTAACTTTTCGATTTCTGATTTTTGTTTGCTCGTACCTAAATGCAGCTCATCTTTCAGACTATCTCGCTCGCGTTTCACCTTCTGTAGTTCTTCGTTTAGCTTTGAAATATCACGATTTTGAGCCGAATTCGCTTTATCTACTTTTTGTTTCAGTGAATCAACTTCATACCGGTGGTCGGACTCCTGTTGCAAGTTTTTTGCGTTAAGTGACTCAATTTTTGCCTCTAAAACTTTTTGAGCATCTTTCGCCTTTTCTGTTTCCTGGTCTATCGAGCGCTTCAAATCAGCCAATTTCGCCCCATTTTCAGCCAAAATTCTGTCTTTTTGACCGGTTAAATCTTTCAATTCACGATTTAACTTGTCAATTTTACTGTTCAATTCTTGTTGTGTTTTGAGCATTTCGTTGCGGTTGCGTTCGTTTTCATCTTCCAAATCTCTGATTTTTTGGTCTTTTTGGTCCGCATTTTTTCCTAATTGAGTTTTCAGTTTTTCGTTTTCCTTCTTCTTCTGATCCAGATAGTCGTGCAAACCCTGCACTTCGTTTTTCATCTTTCGTGCTTCTTCGGCTTGGTTTTGCAGTCGTTTGTGTAAGTCATCCAAGTCTCGTTGCATCTCGGCTTTTTCCTTTTCGGCATCGCGTGTTTTCTGTGCCAATTGTCGCAATTCATCATTTTGGTCCTAAAAATCCAACTCATATGTCATGAAAAAATAGTTGAAGCTTGCCATCGAATTGGAAATTTGCACAAGAATTACACTTTAGTTTCATGTCTGGCTCGGAAAAGCCGCAAAAAAATTCTGAAAAAATAGAAATTTGGTTCCACGGAAAACTTTCATGAAAATTGCAAAAAATTTGATTATTTGCCACTTCTTATGCATGTCAGATAAAAAACTTCCTCCCATTGCATTTTTGTTCCGACTTTTGTACGGAAAGTAACGGAATATTTGTGCTCGTGTGTTTTTTTTTATTACTTCAGACAAATTTCAACTATTTAGCTAGCCATTTTTGACAATGTTTTTTTTATCATTCAAGAAATCTTGTTGTCCTAAGCTTAATTTTGAAAAGCCATTTCACCTGTGATCTTTTTTTGTAAAGTTATGGGAGTTTAATGATTGCCATTTTGGCCAATTTGGGACAAATAAATCGCGATATATTTTGAGCTAATAACGCGTAAGCGGAGATTTATTAAGCTTACGATATGCAAGCGATATCAAGTCGGAAGATAGACTTTTTCGGGTTATTAACATCTTTAACAGAATCACTTGAATGACTTGGTATCTTGGCTTATAATAAATTCAAACTTCTATGCCACTCCGGCCCACTTAGTCTGGAGGCAACGAATACGCCTGGGACGGCAAAGGTCCTGGGTTGAATCTCACCAGGACCTGTTTTTTTTATAACTGGAAATTCTCCGTCTCAAAAAAATTGTCGGTTTAATATTTGTTTGCTTATGTTTTGTCGGCTTAATTGCCATTTCTCGGAATTTTTTGCTGTATGCAAAATTCTTTGAGTTGCTTTTTTATGTTTTCATTTACTCCTGCAATTTATAATTCTTTTAAATATCTCAGAATAAAGTTTATAGTTGAAAGTTTCTTATGACAAAAACTTTTCTTTTGCTCCAAAACATGTTTTCGAATTTTCCTTAAACGCCGTCAAATGTGTTTCTGGACGTGTTTTTCGCAACTTGAACATCATTATAAACAACTTGACAAAATTTTGAAGTTTTCTTGCTGTGGTTTCTTCGAGAATTTTTCCGTTTTCTTTGGACTCAGTGGCTCTCTTATCCTTTCCTGTCTGCTAGCTTGCAATGCTATTTTTGTGGTATCGCAAAGGTTGCAAAGCTCCGCTTGGCCTCTGTGTCATAAATTAAAATCTACTCTGGAAAGTAAGAAAGTGGAAATAAAACTATTCTTGAGAAGGCTTTATGAAAAAAAAAGTTTTCTTCAGATTTCATTTTTTACTGGATTTACTTTTTTGTGGATAAACATGACGAAAAAGAGCAGAAAAAATAGACTAGTCCCGCTAAAACTTATACATAAGCAAGTGGCGGTCGAAAAGGACAAAGCTTTTCTTTACATTTTTCAATTGAGAAATGCCTCAACTCCGGTGAACACCAAGTCCATCAAACTTAAATTTACCTTTTCATTTTTGCCGTTCTGGCTGCTGCTTCCGACCAGATCGTCAAAACTTCCCATTGCCCCCGCTTCCAACTGGGGTCGGGAGTCCGATCCCAGAACCACAAAATCATCTCCCTCTTCCTCCTGATTTCCATTCGAAGATCCAATTGGCGGCCTGCTCAAAAGTTAAAACTAAGTTTTTTTTGGGAGATTAATCTAGAATACAGTTTTTCTGAAACAATATCCTGTTGAAAACTGATCTGGGAATGTGTTAAGGGCCAGTCGGCCAAACTGTTGTCGGAAAAGAAGGAGTAGCAGAGCGGGTAAATTAATGGTATCAAATTTCCGAAGAATGTTTTTTAAAAAACCCGCCCTGCACTCTAAATCCACACTGTGTGTTTTTCATTAGTATAATTTAATTTTTCGGCTATTGACATGGTGATAATAAGCCTGTTATTAACCTGCTGATGACAGGCGGTGATGATTGTTGTCTGGGTGATCCGGGAATTGTGCTAAGGGGGGTTTCTGCTGATGTCTTGGGTCTCGGCGAGAGGGAAGTTAGTTTGGGTCCTTTCTTTCGCTTGTCTTTGGGATGTAGTACTGCACTCAGAACTCGAGCTAAACACAGTCGTAATTTTAAAATCGCCTATAGGACCTTAACACAGAGTTCGCTGAAAAATTTGTTTTTAAGTGAAAGGAAGCTGGAATTTAACATCTAATTTGAGACTCGCTCGTGATAAAAAAAGTTGTTTGTTTTTCGGTTGGAACATTCAATCTTACTAATAATTCTATGAAGTAAACAAAGTTAAAAATTCTAAGTTTCTGCAAAACGCAGAGAATTTACCAGAAACTGTTCAGCCTGTCCAAGGAAAGGATCATCCGTTTGTACTATTCCCGAATTTTAAAAGTGAGTTATGTTGTTGAGCGAAGCTCTTTTCTTGCGACTCAAGGCCGTTTGCGTCTAAAATTTTCAACTCGTAGCGTTTAAAAACATACCTCGCATGGCCAAGTCTTTGTACTTGTCTCCTGTTACAGATGCACTGGTCGGGTCCGTCATGTTGGCAGTGTCGGCAGAATCTTCCGTCGCCGTGCCCCCCGTTGCCCCGGCCGAAGAGCCTTCATCGCTCTTTGCATCTTCAAGAAAAAACGATGATCAACTTTTCAAACTATAGCAGATCAAAAATACTTATGAGCTTCAAAATCGGAGAATAACAAAACTTTGATTCAATTTCAAGCGATAAACCGCAAAAGATGTAAAATATAAGCTAACTAGATTGATTACTGATTTGAAACATTTCCAAAATGAAAGAAAAATCTGGCTGACCATCACTCTGGAAATATTTGGTTTTGCGCAAAGAAATTTAAGCTACTTGTGAACGTTATGAGCTCAATTATAGGTTTTCTAGCAAAAAAAAATAAGTATTTTTAATAAAAAACTTACCCTTTGAACCAGTTTTGCCCTTATCTGGACCTCTGTAGTAGGGCTTCTGCTGGAGAAGTTTCTCTAAGTTATTACTCATAGTCTATCATTTATAACTAATTGATAACTACACAAAATGCTAAATCTGAATCAAATCTGGTCTATACAATATAACTTAATCAGGTGTGAAAAGATGCGGTACATGAAAAAATTAATCAAACCACGTTTTTTGAAACTAAAACATTGTCGGCGTAGATTGAAAAGTTGGCTTTTGAAAACGCGTAAGTTGACTAAAGATATTTTCAACTCTGTTGTTTATTGCCAAAAGCTTCTTAAGTACACGTTTTTATCGATTTGAACATTACTTATTCGACTTGTTCTACAAAAGTCAACAAAAAACTAAATTTTAAACAGCAACACCATTTAATACTGCGCTAAAATTATTACACAATTGGTTAAATAACTCGCATTTTGTTACCAAAAGCAGAAAAAGGTCCCGCCTTTCAAAAAAGTTAGGTGTACTTCTGCTTCGAAAAGTACTAGAAAAGATCAGTTGCGTATGATTAGTATTGTTCTGACGGGAACACAAATTCGTAAAAATCCAGCCTGAGTATGAAAATAAGAAGTTAATAGCAAAGAAAAACTAATTTCTAGACCAGGGATGGATATAGGAGGGGCGGATCTAGGATTTTCTCGAGGGGGGGGGAGCGGATTTTCAGAAAACTTTGACGACCTTTTTTTTAGGCCGACCAAATTGATTTTCCAAGCTGTTCTAAAGCAGTAAAAAGACCCTGTTTTGACCAAATTTTCTGCGCCGTAAGCAAATTTTTGAAAAAACTGGTCAAAAAGGCGGTTTTTGGGCACTCTTTTGAAAATTTTTAACAAAAAATTGCGTTTTTTTTTGGCGCGCGTTTCCCCTCAAAGTTAGTGTATATTGGCGCCTTTAGAAAAATTTTAATGTCGGTCGGCCAAAAATGGATTTCTTAAAAAGTATCAAAGGAGGGACCCTTTGGGTTGGCGGGGGGTCGAAAATCCCTGAAAAGGGGCCTCCGCCCCACGCCCCCACCCTCCTTCCCCTAAATCCGCGCTCCTGATATAGGATATTCTTGAAGAGAAGAGGGGTCTGGTCATAAAAATTTCAATTTTTTTTTCGACATTTCTTAGGTCGACCAAACTGATTTTCTGAGCTACCCCAAATGCTATAATGACCCCATATTGACCAAATTATTTGCGCTTATAAAAAATAGGTCAAAGAGCAATTTTAGGCGTTTTTGGAAAAGTTTGACCAAAAATGTTTTTTTTTTCGGTGCGCGCTTCCCGCTAAAATGGAGGTCTTGAAACTAATAAACCCCCTCCTCACTCTAAATCCGCAGCTGATGTAGATCATCTAATGTTGTAACAGCCAAACGGTCGACGAATTATAAACCGGTCATCAAATCTCAACAATATTGTTTGAGAGAAAACTAAACTATTCGACATAGGAGAACCATTTTTGCAAAACTTCAATTTCAGAGTCACTTTTTTCTAATCAGTGAGGGTTACAAGTCACTGATTTTGCCATACGTTTCACATGTAGTGCCCGCATCCAAGTTTAGGCGTAAGTATTCGATTATAACAGATTATTATGATGATTTTTTGACAATTATAATTAATTATAATTACCAAAATTAGGTCTTTAAGAGATTTATAAGTGATTATAATCGTGATTTTTTCCAAGAGATTATAATCTCTTATAATCGATTATAATTGATTATAATTGATTATAGTTCTTACTAAAAACCCTTAAAACCAATTATGATCGATTATAATTGATTATAATTGATTATAATCTCTTATTTTGCCGAAGTTTTCCTATACTCGAATTATATCTTATGGGTTACTATTTTTAATTCAATAAGAAAATCTCTAAAGGAGAGATCTCTTGAACACTTTGGCTCATCTGAACACAAATTTTTACCACGAGACAAAAACTTACCACGAGATCCTTTCATATGAGTGGAAAGGTTCCCGCGGTAGATGAAAAATAAATTTTCCGAATCAATCATGAAACTAAATCAATTTGCTGATGTTTTGGTATGTAAAAGAGCTTAAATTATGCATCACAAAACAACTCTAATGGGGAAGAAATGAAAAAAAAACTCATAAATTTGAAATAATTGGAAAACTTTAAAAATATTTTTCTCATTTTTTATAGGAACCAACGTCCACAAAAGCAAAAAATATAGGCAATGTAGATGCAATTTCGAAGACAAAAATGGACAAACAAAAGGGATTATAATCAATTATAATCGATTATAATGGATTTTTCTGCAAAACTAATGAAATAGAAATTTGAATAAAAATAATTGATTATAATCAATTATAATCGATTATAATTGTAATGAAAAATAGACCACTAAATAATCTTTTATAATCGATTATAATGGATTATAGTTAATTAAAATTTGATTTTTTAAAAAAAAGATTATAATCGATTATTAATTGATTAAAATCGATTGTTTCTCAATTTTAGTAAGACTGGTACTAGATTCGTAATATAATCGATTATTAACGCTTGAAACTGGATGCGGGTGACGTTGCACTGAACAGAATGAACCAAGAGTAGAAGACGTCTAATAACTAATGCAAAAAATAAAACTGGATAATTGAAAAAACAAAAACTGTTTCCAATCGCCCGGAGACCGGCGGGAAGTGTCGTCCGGCTGGATAATGGCAAACCTCTAATATATTCAATAAGAAATATTGAATATATATATTTCGTCATACATTTATACTGATCCAATGACCTGATATATTATGATGGTTTTTACGCATATCTGAGTGCTTTGGCTTTCACATCCTGAGAATTGACAATTACTTTTCAGTAGTTTCTGCGCACACATGAATTTATTCAGTTTGCTATTCCGCTCGGATTCGAAAAATTAGCTTATTCAATCCTTGCGGTATGACAGGGCGCAGCCAACAGGATCTAAAAACCCACTAAGCAAAAGGGCGTCAGAATATGAAAACACTCTGAGAACTTGGCAAAGGGCGAGAACTGAGCCACCATTGCAAAGGTCAGGGGGCGGTCATCATGTAGATGGTTATTTTCGCAAAAGATGGAATCGAAGTGAGAACCTGTTATGAGGCAAACTTGTACTACTAAAACAAACATCAACTTATGAAAAAAAATCACGGGAGAAACCACAACATCAAATAAAACCGAGACACACAAAATCAGGAGAAAAAAAGGGGTTGGGAAAATAAAGTCATTGAAGCGAGAGAATTTTTTTTGTGAAGTTCATTGGTTTGGGAGTAAGCAGACGCCAAGGTCAAAAATTACACAAATTCGTGTCTGAATTAAAGCAGAAAAGGCCTGGGCTACACCTACAATCAATTCAACGAATGAAACCTTGAGAATACTTTTATCATCACGAGGATAATTGCAAAGATAATTGCAACAGTGAAATATATAATTTTATGAGCCTTGAACAGAAAAAAAATCGCTAAACCATGTTTACGCAGATTTTATAGAAATTTAGTCACGTGCAGGTTGAGAAGATCGTGAAAAAAAGTGGGCCATGGACATTTTCACCGCTTTCGTTAACAGCGAAAAAAGCAGAGGAACTATTGGCACAGACGAGTTCCTCACAAGTTGCTTGCAAATACCGACCAGAAAAGAGAAACGCTTCAAATATAGCAGACTGACAAAAACAACCCAATTGACCCATAGGCCTCCACACCAATCAAACAACAACCCATGGGATATATTCTGCAGCGAGGACGGGGTTGTTAAAATAATTATCGAAACAGAAGTTCGACCGACGAAATTTCTAATATGGAATCGTAATTTAAGAGGACAACAAAATCTTAAAATGAATTTGGTCAATTTTTTGGACCAAACCACTTGCAATCATGTCGCGCGAAAGTTAAAAATTCTGCAAAATGCTCCAAATAGGGACAATTTACGAAAATGTGCAAATGAGCAATCTTTAACTATCTGTAAGAAGTAAAAGAACAGCCAAACAACGCAAAAGAAAACACTATTAAAAGACAGCTAAAATTCGATCAATTACACATATTCAAGTCTCTCATTTATTTTGTAGATCAATCAAGGTATTATAAAGTTACTATTTACACCAGTAGACGACCATTGTCAATAAGATAATTGAGGGTATGACTCAATCACTAAACAATAGTCTACAAAATAACATCAGGCTTAGCTGAAATCACAAAAACACTCACCTTTTCAAACCCACTTGAGACGAAAAACAGCACACCATTATCCAACATAGCAACAACAAGTTCACCAAACAACGATAGTTGGGAAACCGCAAAACACTGATCTCTAGAGCGAAAAAAAAGATGCACCCCCGTCACTGCCTCGGAAGTGATGCGCAATCTATAGAGAAGGTCATATGACAAAGTTGTGGTGAAATAAAGATCAGGGAGAAATTCCAAGAACTGATTAACACAGCTACTACATCAAAAACGTCAAGACAACAAGGGACATTTGTGAAAACTAGACAAGCTTTAGCTAATGAACGAGAATCACTCAATATAGCATACAAAAGGAAACAAACAAAAGTATCAAAAAATAAACGAATGTAAATAGAACATGTTGAGAGAAAAACAGTACGCATTGCTGCAAAGGTACAAGATCCAAAGACTTTCGAACAAAAATACAAAACAACAGATGGAAAAAATCTATCATATATTCCTCAATTGGCTTGGGTACAAACACTTGTTACTCGGCTATTGAAAAACAGCGGACTGGCTTTTGTCCCAGCCCAAAAAAAAATACAAATCATGTAGGTCATCATTAAGAGGTTAAAATGCATGTTAATCTGCAGGAGAGCAGGACCATAATTGCGTTTTTAGACATCGAGAAACCAAACGCAAGTGAACATTATATGTTCAAAAAGGATAAGCGAACAAGCTTTTCAAAGAAGCTGACCAAAATTAAGGTCTAAATTGCAGGTAAGTCCAAAAATAGGACAGGAAAGACACCAGGAGGAAAACGAAAAGGAGAGAAACCAGTCACGGATACTCCAGTCACGAATGGTTCACGGAAAAAGACATATCAGAATCGGAATCAGAGCAGTCAATATCATCAAGTGACGATTGTTCATCAACCTTAGAGGACACCAAACACCAAACTACCTTCAAAACGGATGGAAACCAAGAAGACGCCACCACAAGTATCGAGAATTTCGGTATAAGCGACTAGGATGTCTCTGAGAAATCGTCAATCGGCCCTAGCGGTTGCCCTA